TCAAGTTTCTATCAATTGATGACAATGTTGGTTGGTTTTTGTTTAACGCTGAACTCAGCAATATTCCAGCTATATTGAGGTGGTCTGTAAATAATTTGGTAATCCCATACAATCCAGTGATCAACAGCACGAGCATTGATCTACTCAATTGGGATACGATGACATGTGTCAACCAAGTCCAGTAAGCCTGACCACTGATGATGTTGACCTACCCAACTGTTTGTCCCTTGGCAGCAAATGCCATATTACAATATTATGAAGTCCAATTGTATTGTGCTTTTTCCATGCTTTATATCATACACACAGTGCACCATTATGGGTCCGGTGAATGCATAAACGTTCACTTGATTTTGTTTCTTGGCTCACTGGGGAGTATGCACACCAAGAGGCCAATGAGGCGCTAGACAATTTACAGTCACCAGACTATCTCATCCTACCAGGTACCCATTTACAACTGGGTGAACAGGGATGTTTCGAACAAGGTTATTTGCCTAAAGAGACACCAAATGTACAGTCTATGGTAGGATAAAAGTCTTTGACCCTCCCCGGAGTCAGGCTATCACAGCCCGAAATCATCTGCCCTCTGTAACCTGATTTGTGGGATGATTTGTGTTTTACACAGGACAGCCACCACAAAATACCAGTATGTACTGTTTAGGTAACAACAGTTTCCATACCCCTTGTACAATTTGGAGTTTAAATCTCTGATATACTGAAAATATTGATGATGATGCTTTTGAAAATTAAGATAAAGAGCAAGATAAAATACTTCAAATTCTGATTAATTTTCAAGATGAATATTATATCCAAATCAGGAAATACCCAAAAGTACAACAAATTGTTCACAGACAATGGACTTAATGGTATATTGTGCATACTTCTTCACAGTATCAGATTGCATCTTAGCGATGTGACATTTGTAAATGCCATTGCCAATATAGGAACACATGGTGACTGTGAATGTCAACTTGTCAACAGAGGGGACAAAAACGCTAAAACATAAGTGTTTCCTCTGAGAGTTTCTACAAAAATGCACAATGTCTGAGTGTCATTTTGTCGAAAGGTCAAATAATTGAGTGACAACAGGTATAAGAGTTTTATCACTTTAACCCAACATCATACAATGGTTACAATTTAGAGGATTCTTTCTCTTAAGTATGAGTATGTTATGTTCATAAACAACATAGAAAATATGAATATGAGCATACAGTGAAAGATAATGGATAAAATATATAAATATACATTTGTGTAACTAACACCAATAGAGTGACATTTTGTGTTCTCATTGTTTAACACAAGACTCCATTGATACGACATCAGCCTGTAATTAAACAAGGCTGGACCAGACAGTCCCGTGATTCATTACAACACATGAAGTCATCATGCCCAACCTCCTAATCCATTTGTTCGCCTGTTACGACCAATACATGTTGCTATGGGTACATTCTAACCTGGAGTCCACACAAATGAAACTTTGTAATGAACAATGAGCATCTGCTGGACAATATGAAAATAAAGTATGTTGTGCCACCAACAAGACTGCCAATAAGCATGTGGAGGTGGTCGTAACAACCAGCGCTGCATTACAACCTACACAGGTAATCAGCCAATTGAACTGTCTTGCACACTGTTCAAGTACAATGGCAGGGATAATTGGAAAGACGCTCTGGTTACTTAGAAATGCCTACTGGGCCAGTGCTTCTCAATTGTGGCCTGAAGAAGGAATCTGTTTTGAAATCTTGTTTAATGCATTCATGGTGCATTAAGAAAATCATTTTTGAAAAATGACCTGAAATTATACTTGATATCTCTATATCATATTAAGAGCTATGAGTAACCTGAAATCTCATCTCATTGTAAAGGGGGCGGTGGGGTAGGCAAGTGGTTAAAGCGTTCGCTCATCATGCTGAAGACCTTAGTTCGATTCCACAGATGGGTAGAATGTGTGAATCCCATTTCTGATGTTCTCAGCCATGATATTGGTGGAATACTGCTAACAGTAGTATAAAACCATACTCACTCACTCATTGCAAATGCCCTAGTTGATAGATTTCTACATTCTGGAGCCTTTATTGTAATAAACTTTGTCTGACGACAGTTGCTGATAGGGCTGGGACGGGTACTCGACTACTCGAATCCGGGTCGGGTACAGCTGGAATCGAGTCTTATTTCTAGGAATCGAGTACCCAGAATGGAGAGAACTCTGTGATGACAAGGGCAGATAATAACTTGTCTTTTTCATTATTGACGTAACACACATTTACATCATTGGTATTGTCCGATTAATGGAGGTTATTATTAACGACTGTAATTTATCTGCGCATGGGCAGTGAGTAGTCAAGTTACAGGAACAGCAGGAACGAAAAGTTTATTTAAACGAGCAATGTAACTAATGGTGTTACTCTTTATATTGGTCAAACAGACGTAAATTATATAGCTTGAGATCATTTTTAATGTCTTATTGCCACCCTTATAAGTTTTCTTTAATAGTCTCTGTCAAATCGTGAATGAATATTCAGAAAGTTGACAGAAGCGCTGTGTTCCTTACATTTCCGGGTACTCGATTCCGATTCGGGTAAGTACATGCGGGTACTCGATTCCATTTTTTCCTACCCGTCCCAGCCCTAGTTGCTGACACCTCTTTTAGGGGGAAGGAAATAATGATAATGTGGTAAATAGAACCAAGGCTGCCTGTGGGCACAGGACATTCCCATCTTATCCTACCAGGTACCCTTCTACTGCAGGGTAAATAGAGATAATAATTATAATTATACAATATTACCCTGAAGAAAAGTGTAAAACTAAATTCATAACAAATGCGCTGGCCACTGAATTGTATCTGTGCATTGTAACACTGTCCTGAAAACAACTCATCATCTAAATGAAAACATTTACGATCTTTATAAGAATAACAAGGAAAATGATTTGTGAATTTTTTGTGAAGTAAAACTAAGAAATCATCACAACTATTCAATAACAGGTTAACAAAATGGATGAGCTGGAAAAGAGTGAGTCAGTGAATGTTGTTAAATGTCATGGTCAACAATGCTGCAGTCATCACATGTGACAAACAAAGGTTGCTAGTATGAGCATCGATCAACAGGGGTACGATAACATGATCAGTCAAACAACAACATCCTCAGATGCTAATGTCATCTTCAAGACAACAATGAGGTACGAGGGATCTGTTGTAACCCAGAATTACTCCAGGGTAACTGAAAAAACAGGCACATGATCATGAACATTAGGGACCAAAATGCATCGTAATAATAATAATGATAATCAGAGAGACATGCAGATGACATAAACACATGGTTTTCACATGAAGGGCTGTTTCAAAGGTAATAATGTCTCATGCATAAGAAGTTATAATGACATATGGTTTGGAATATTGCTGTTGGTGAAATATATAAGCAACACTTTTTTTAAATATCATCTATCCTTATTGAAAAACATTATTTTATAAAGTGAAAATTAATTTCATTTTAGAAAACTTATTTTAGGCCATTCATTATGATTCAAATGGTTTAATCCACTGAGTCTATGGTGGCGGTGGGGTAGCCCAGTGGTTAAAGTGTTCGCTCGTCACGCCAAAGATCTGGGTTCGAGTCCCCACATAGGTACAATGTGTGAAGCCCATTTCTGGTGTCCCCCTGCCGTGATATTGCTGGAATATTGCTAAAAAGTGGCGTAATACTAAAACTCACTCACTCACTGAGTCGATGGGCATATATATGATTTCTTAGGGTAGATGGTAGAGTTACATATTTCAACAACAGCAAAGAATGATTTTTGCCATGAAATTAGGTTCCCAGTACTTGCAGATGGGGGTCTTCACTGTCTGTCAAACCAGAGCTCAAATGTTTAGAGAGAAATGTTTTGTGTTGATTTGGTGATAACTGTTTGTGCCACTGGATTTCACTTCAGTTCACATGGAACTAGTTGTTTGTGAACACATGTAGACTGAAGCCTGGTACTACCTGTAGTTTTTAAATGATACAATGCAATGAAAAAATACAGAGAATATGATTCAGCTTGTCAGCTCTTGATCTACACAATGTTTTGTGTACATCTATTTACAGTGAAGGGTTGATGGGGTAGCCTAGTGGTTAAAGCGTTTCGCTCATCATGCCAAAGGCCCAGGTTCAATTCCCAACATGGGTACAATGTGTGAAGACCATTTCTGGTTTTCACCTGGAATATTATAAAAGTGGCGTAAAACCCAACTCACTCACTCAATATTTATTGTAAATCGTTTCGAGACTATCTCAACTATCACAAGAAGTGAGCGAGAGTATGCGAGAGGAAGCCATATTTGTTTCGGGGTCAGTGCGCCGTGGAAGTGTGGGAAACCACGCGTGTTGTCTGTCATTTACAGTAAAAGATCTACATGTTCTGATGTGACGTTTTACAGACTGTAGCTCCACCATCTGCAAGTACTGTTCATGCAAGTCCCATTATTCCAATCAATGGAGTATCAAGCCACATGCAAGTCTACCATGCCACAAGCAACGTAAAAAGGCAATTACATGAAGGAGATTTCATTCTCAGATATGTTTGTTTACATGATAATGATGGTAGTATAACTTAGGATGGTTTGAGGAGATTCTTTAACATGCGTCTTGCACATTTGGATCAACTTTCTAATATGCATCAATTTTCTGATACAAGATTTAGTCAAATGCCAGGGAAGTCGGAGGAATGCTCGTCTGGAGGGTGAAACCCATCTCAGCCAATAGAATTAAAGATTACAAGTTGTGTGGCTGAGGGTGGCCAATCGTCTGGCTGATTAGAAGTTATTGGATTCATAGCAGCAATAAACTGCAAAATCAGAAATTGGCCAGCATTTTTAGCCAATCCGCTGGCCTGTATGATTGTGTGAGATTTTATTAGCCAATGGGGTGGCTAGTTGCATGGCTGCCTTGATAACCCCGTTGTCCTCCAATCAGCTAGAATCAACAAGCACAGCGGGCATGCAGAGCCACACAACTTACAGTTACCGGGGTTAGGAGTTCGGATCTGTCCGACATCCGGGGGGCCTTCTCCCACTCTGTTGGAAGCAGCAACGGTGACAACATATTTTTGTGAAGGCTGAAGTTGTCCCACTGTCCATGACCGCACATCACCAAGGATGTCTTTCGTCATCCGCCGTAGACTCGGGTGGCCCACTGGGTCGATGGTGATCTTGTAGGCTACAATGTCGCCATTAGTGTAAGCTGGGCGGTCCCAGGCAATAGAGATAACTGATGGGGATGGGGCAGACAGACTCCTGATCTTTGGGGCACTTGCTGGTACTGGAAAACAAAAGGTCAACATACAAATAACTTGTAAACAGATATGTATCTTCAAAACTATTTCTAAGTAAGGTCCCGTGAAGATCTGGGTTAGAATTGATATTCAGTAACCCATGCTTGTGGTAAGAGGCAACTAACAGGATTGTGTGGTCAGGCTTGCTGACTTGGTTGACACATCCAAATTGCTGTCGATCACTGGATTGTCTGGTCCAGACTCGATTATTTACAGACTGATGCCTTATAGCTGGAATATTGCTGAGTGTAGCATAAAACTAAACTCATTCACTCACTCATTTCTAAGTAAGATGACATGACTGACCTGATCAAAGCATAACAAATACCTATGGACCAAGCTAAACTATTATTAATTAACACCAATGCCATGCATACGATCTAGTATCCTGACAATAGCTAGAATCCTTTCAATACACATGCATACAAATTTCAATCAGAAGGTGAGAAGACAGTCATTCATATCCCCTATCCTTTTAAAATTTCAAAAGATTCCAATGTTTTTTACATTTCTGTATTCTTTACCTGCCAATCAAATATATTTGTAATCATACTTTTCATCCCAATTTGTTTTTCAGAATATTTTATTTGCCTTAACAAAATTTAACCTTGCTTCTGACAAGCTACAAAACCAATTTGAATTTAATTTCCTATACAAATTGTCCACACTCAGACTGAGCTCATAATGAATCCTTAACTTAAATTCAAAATATTCTGCCAACAACTACCGGTACTTGTATTTGTATCCCTGTGTCTTACTGGTAATCAAAAGCACTGTCACGATGATGTATTCTTGACAGCTAATTGAATCCTGTTACCAGAATTTTAAACTGGTACTGTGTATTTTGGTCATAGCAAAATAGCCTTGTAAGTGTATATTTGACAGGACAACAGTATTGACATTCAAGACGTTGAACGAACATATCTGAGAATTCCACTCTAATCCACAAGTAGTTCCAGAAATTATGTGTTTGCATGGCGCCACAATCATTCTGTCACTGGCAGCACCAATTGCTTTGTCACAGGGATAATCGCAAGGAAATAAATAGATCAGAGCTGTTCTTCAAAGTGACACTGCCACTGCACCTATAACAAATCCTGTGCTGAAGCACACATTAAAACATTCCCTGCACTAACATATGCTTTGATGCCACGCCTGGAACTTTCTTAGGATATTACAGAAAATGTGAAAACTACCAAAGTGCATTATCTGGTAGACAGGACATTGACATTGTAGTGTTGTCATCAGTGAACAATGACTGGACAACACTCTATGTGTCAATCATGTGATTCTGGGTACTGTAGAGGCAACGCCAGGACTTACTTTACCAAGATAAACAGCAATATATTGTGGTTGTGTGACAAACAGGCACCGTATGAAGAATGGTGTCTGCATGGAGATATGATGAGCGGAGGATTGTCCGGAAGTGAGAGAGACTCAGTGAAGAGATTCCCTTAGTTTGTGCGGCATCAAGCCCATGTGTTCTGCAGGTAGTAATTGCAGTATGAATCTAATTCACCGTGGCATTGTAATAGGGCAACAAAATCATAAAGATTAGGAAAAAGATTCTTCTGTTTTGTTCCACGCATGCTTATCATCTGGAGATGTTAAGGGATTAAAACTGTTATTTGAATACATGACACGTTTTATGGATATTTATGGAATTTGTATTTGATATCTACATGCTCATCAAAGAGTTGGTTAAACAGACTCGTAGATGAGACTTTGGCTGAGGTACGTCCTACAATAGCAACATGTTTGTTATGAATTATGGTTTGTTGAATGAAGCATGTTTATGTTGAAAGTAAATCAGAGTATGGGTCATAAATACAAAGAGAGGAATTAAGACACTTTATGCTTCAAGGTCAGGTGAAATGGTGTCTAATGTTGCATTCAAGGTCACTGTCATTTAGCGATGTGCTCTTAGATTTTGTGGTGTGTGTGTGTGTGCGTGCGTGCGTGTATTTGTAGTGAGTGAGTGAGTGGGTGCATGAGTGAGATCAGCTGCACAATGTTACATACATACATACATACATACATACATACATACATACATCCATCCATCCATCCATCCATCCATCCATCCATCCATCCATCCATCCATCCATCCATCCATCCATCATGGGTGGACTGGGACACATAGTCCCAGTACTTTGTCCTAGTTTACTGCATGTTGCTGGGTGTTTGCACGTATTCATGTGGCCACCATCTGGTCATATACCAACGGATTCGTGTGTTCTTTTAAGTGCACAGGGTTGTGTACTGTACACTAGGGGTTGTGACAACATGGAAAGAGTCTGCACACAAAGTTGACTCCAAGGTTTTTACACCCGGTCACGTCACAGGTGGGCTCGATCCTGACAATTTAAGCTCGCTGGATCACTAGCCCACCACACAATTTTATTCATTATTTATTTTATTTTATTATGCCCCAGGGCACAATTGAAAAATAGAATTGTTTGTCTCCTCCTTTCAAATTAAAGCAGTAAATGAAAATGTATTTTGTCCCAAACAAACATTTTTAAAAATCCCAGCATCACTACAGATTTACTTTTTCAAAAGAGAAGTCGCCATGTCAGACAGTATTCAGCAAATGCAACTGCCTCTTTCTTGAGAACAGTAAGCATGACACATACAATTCCTCCAAATGATACAATTTTCATCATATTTCTGGCTCTAGACCTGTGCAGTGGTGTTTTTTAAACTTTCGTAATTTGATTTTTTCCAATCTAAATGAAGTGAAACACTTCATTCCAACATAGTGAATGCCTCAACAGTCTCGCGTGTGCCCTGAAGTGTGTATTCATCATCACGGAATAACGATCACCGAATGACAAAAAAACTGACAGTAACAGGAATCAGGGAATAACGTTGAGAGCTCCTTGGCTGAAAGGTTCCGTCGGGTACGTTAGGTTTCAATCCAAATGTCCTGTCATTATCAGTAGAAAAGTCGGCAGTAAATGTATCCTGAATCGATTCATTCAATAACTATACTAGAAGACAGTTGTGAGGATAATTGTATCGAAACCACTCCACACTAGCTGTCTTGTGGTTGATAATTATGAAAGGGTCAGATTACGGTTGGCAGCCAACTGATTTTATTATTTTTTTCAATAACACTGAAACATAGCATGGCAGAGGCATTTTTTTGTGGTATATTCTACTTGAAGGAAGTTAAAAACCCAGTAAGTCTTGTTATTACTATATTTCATGGTATGACCCAATTCTTTCATTATACTATAATTACTTTGTCATGCTACGGCAAAATAACTAACGGGTATATTCATATGAAAGAATCAAGCATTACCTATGGGATAATAATGCAACATTTATCTCCTTTATCTTCTGTGTAAGAGAAATAAAATTATTTTAAATGCCAAATTGGCATAATCTGGCTATATACAGAAATGTTAATTTCGACCATTGTTGTAATTATTAGACATTCTCAAAATAACTCTACTAATTAAATATTTAAATAAACGAAAGAAATAACCCACAACAATTGGGGCAACCTTAATAAAACCAAAACCAAAATGCATGTATTAATAACAAGCCCATAACCGTTTTCTACATTTCCTGGATCGTTATCATGCTGCAATATTGCCCTGATCACCCTTGGCATAGCCATTATTGACTGGCTGTGTTGAGTGGGAGAGGCAATATCGTCCCACAGATTGATCAGCCAAGAGATAAGAATCACCACCAACTATGTGGACAAACACTCCACCAACTGGAGGAGGGTTGGCCTATCTCGGACTGACCAGTCAAGGAACTGCTGGCTCCTGAAAACACTGTCAACAGTTAAACCTTGCCCATCTGAACACCCACCCTTGTACAAACCATGTGGGAAATAATTGACTGTTCTTTGACATTGATTCATAAAACAATGTGGTTTATAGGAGTGAAAATTTGATGTGTCAGCATTACTCCTTGAATATTCACAATATACATAAAACCAATAATATAATCATATTTTTTTCCACTAGCTTACATACAATATAATGTTTTGTAACATATTTATATTCATCTTTGTCTTTATCTTTATTAACTACAAATTGTTATTCAAAAAGCAAATGAATTAAGGTAGCCAGGCCCCTTTAATGCCAAGTGTGAAGACAAGTCTTGTTGGCAGATAACATTTTTGCACCATCTGATAGTAATTTCCCTGAAGCACGTTAAACCCAAACTCATTCCAAAAAATAAAATGGTTATTTCATTCTGAGGTCTTTATACAAGCATCTGTTTTCCAATATTGTTGTTTTAAAATATCAACTTTTTATATGTATACAAAGTATATATTGAAGCTATTAGGTTCCTATGGTTTGTCAAGGTTTTGCCAAGTTAATGGTTTTCCTGGAATTAGATTCAATGTTTTCATCACGTAAGAGACACCCCAACCATATCAATGTCATATTATGCAAGATTGACCCAATCCAAGCAGACTGGAAGGAAATCAATTTACAAATATATGACACTCACTCAGCAAGTCTCACCATATTTTTCTATGATAATGAAATATGCTGTCTGAAGTACTGAAGAGTTTATTCACACAAAAACATTGGTCCTTGACCTTGAGCTGTCTGTTGGGCCAACTATCATTATCTCAATGGTGGTATAGAATTTCTGCTTACAATGAAAATCATGAAGACTGATCAATAATGTTTTAATTCATGAGGTTCACCAAAGACAAAATCTGCTAACTCTCTCACAAAAAGGCAGGAAAGTTGCTTTGTAAGAAAGAGTTCCTGAATCCTTCTCGGTGATTTTAAGGACAAGAATTCCATTTGACCATAAAAGTTGACCTGTTTGTCAAGATAACAGTTATCATCAAAGAGTACCACCCATGCTGGCCATGTTAGGTGACTAATATGGGAGCGGGTGATCAGGCTCACTGGCTTGGTTGACATGTCATTGTATTCCCAATTGCGTAGATTGATCCTCATGCTTTTAATCACTGGATATCTGGTCCAGAATCCATTATGTACAGACCACTGCCATATTGTGGGAATATTACTGAGGTCAAAGACAAAGACAACAACAAAATAAAAAAAATAATAAAGAAGGAGTACCATTATCATTAGATGACACAAGAAGCACAACATTGATCTCCTATCTTAGCACACAAACCATTTTAAACTAGCCCAAATTTACTCCACGTCTTGGTGTGTCAGGCTTGCTGAAATATGTAGGTGAGCAATCACAGTGAGATCTATATCCTGTGGTCAACTCTTGGGTAAAAGTCCATTTCCTAGCCCTGATCTGTCTTTCACAGCCATATAAGGGACAGTCAACAACTCAGCTAGCTCCATTTCCACTGCAATTTGCATGTCTGATGTCTCATGAATATTGATGAACCTTCACCAGTCTATACTCATTACTTGTGATGCACTACATGAAAACACTCTGTTGCCCAGCGCTCTCTTGTTCCTTGCTCACCTTCACTGCCAACTGGTTTAATCCTTGTCTTGAGGCAAAGTCTAACATTCTTATTCTACCTATTTTCTAGCTTAATTAAACAGTAAGTTGTGATGATGAAACAATGGTGTATGTACCATAACCCATAACATCTTCTTTTTTAAATCTGTTTTTTTATGACATGTTCTGAAATGTACACAAATGACAATTTGGTCACTAATTCCATTTGCCAGGAAGTACTTTACAAGAAGGCAAAATGTGGTTAGTGAAAAAGGAAAAACTTGTTTTTTATATTTTACATAAAAGATAAAAACTGATAAAGTGTATGTTTGTAAAACATATACCGTACCCCTTTCTCAAACCTACGGATTCATGTACAATTGTAAACAAACTAGTGGCAACAAAACCAGGTTTGTTTTTCTTTGTTAATTAAACACTGTTCAGCAGCGATCAAGTTATATGACAGAGGTCTGTAAATAATGAGTGAGTGAAAGAGTGAGTTAAGTTTCACGCCACACTCAGCAATATTCCAGCTATATGGCGGCGGTCTGTAAATAATTGAGTCTGGACCAGACAATCCAGTGATCAACAGCATGAACATCGATCTGCGCAATTGGGAATCGATGACATGTATGAACCAAGTCAGCGAGCCTGACCACCCGATCCCGTTAGTTGCCTCTTACGACAAGTATAGTCGTGGCAAACATGGGTTTTGTGGCAAGCATGGGTTGCTGAAGACCTATTCTACACCGGATCTTTACGGGTTCTGTAAATAATGGAATCTGGAAGAGGCAATCAAATGACTGACATCATAAGCATCAATCTACACAGTTTGGATACAATAATTTCTATCACTAAAGTCAGAAAGTGTGGCCACCCTTTTGGTTGCCTCTTACAGCAAGCACAGGTTGTTGAAGGCAAATTCTAATTCAGTTCACAGATCTTCATGGGGTTCAAACAAATATGTGATGACTCTTAAAATGATACATAAAACCTCTTACCTCCATGGGCTACAGTGGTGATGGGGAATGACTCTGGTGACATTACAAAATCCTCAGTCTGTGGACTGATCACAACCAAAACTTTGAACTGAAACACAAAACAGTTGTTAATGAACAAAGTTCTGGTTAATCGTCTACATTTAACTAACAGGTCTGTCACAAATAAATAAGGCAAGACTTTTCACAGGATAAATTTCAATTATCAAAACAAAAGATATTTTGCCACTTGTATCATGACATGTTGGCGGGGAAGATATTAACTATATAAATACAATGTCAGTGCAAAAGAATTCCTAGTCTTGAAGCGAAATTTATTTTTTAAATTATATGAAATGGACCACTGAAAATCAGTGATGACGCCAGGTGTTTACGAAAAGGGAAGGAATGCCCGCCCTATTGGTAGCACCTGCAAAACAAATCTTACAACTAATCATCAAAAAAACCTTAGTTATCTGCTCAAAAGTTCTTGATCGTATTTCTGAAGGATTACCCATAGCATATCCTTGAAGGCTTAATAATACAATATGTGAATAATGGAATTTATGAGGAAATATTGTCACTTGTGATTACAAAAGGGTTTTGTCATGACAAAAACCCGCGTGAAGCCCAGTTGTGGTGTCCCCTGCTGTGATGTTGCTGGAATATTGCTGGAAGGGACATAGAACCATACTCACTCACTCACTCACTCACTCAGTCAGTAGTCATGAGGTGGCGTAGCATCTGATTTATGACAGAATATAATGTAAAACATCCATGATCAATAAGTTGCTTACTGAAAACTAAAGCAAGTTTGAACTGCAAAACAACTTCTCCATGTTTCTAAACCAGAAGCATTTTTCATCAATGAGAGATGTGATCTTACATAAAAGAGTTCAGATTAACTGGAGTTGAGGAATACAGAAAAGAAGTCTCAATTTGCAATAAAAGTATAACTGAACAACCAAAGGTAATAAATGGGTCAGGAAATTTGACATAAGAACCAAATCAGATGTCATTTCTAGTCTTCAGGACTGACTGCTGAAGATTAAACTTCATTGGCCTAAGGTTCAAGGAGACATGGTAAGTCAAAGTTTACGCCAAGCTTGACACATCATGACATAACATCAGATGGACCTTGAGTCTAGGTGAGCTGTAAATACACATCTGAGTGAAAGCTATCAAACAGAACCTACCTTATACGTGACATAGGGGTGGAGGTTGTAGATAGATATGGAGTTGCCCTCAAATCGGGATGAGTTATGGATTTGCCAATCACTGTTCACTTGTGGTATATCCAGTATTTTCCTGTATATCAGGTAGGTGACTTTTTCCAGCTTCCGATTGGTCCATTGTAGCACGATGGAGGAATAATTTATGCTGGATCTTTTGAGAGTTGGTTTTGGCAGTGTCCCCAACTGTCCTGGAACAAACAAGATAGTTATTAGCTAATTTGTTCATACATTAAAGGATGTGGTCAATATTGCTGTTTTATCATTCAAAACTACCGTCCACTGGTGATATCACTTGTAATAATACCATTACATTACATCACTATGCTTTGCAGACAATTATGATGTCATTGGTTACCAAGGCGTCACAATCAAATGACATCACTAATTACTGCCACTGATGCTGGTTATCTGTACATTTCACACTCAAGACACTGCTTATTACTGTTTACAAACTAGAAAAGTTGAAAGATGATTTTGGATAAAAGATAGAATCAATAAATGTTGATATATTCAACTTCAAAAGACACACACGTGAGATTCCCTATATATTGCACTCAAGGAGGTGAAACAATGTACCAGTAGTTCTCGACTTTATCTGATTACAAATTGAAATGAATGGTCATTTTTATTTAGAATTACAGTGAACTGACGAATACAATACATAGTGCAATGTGTAGCAGAGAAGCATCTACATGGTCAGGGGATAAATCACATGGGTGTTTGCTATTCAAAAAGCATGCCTTCATCACAAGATAGGCTTCCAGATCAAGAGGTGATTACAAAGCTCCTTACTATTCAGGACCGCCTCTGTGGTGTAGTGGTTAGAGCGTCCGCCCGGAGAGCGGAAGGTCGCGGGTTTGCCCCCCCGCCGTGTCATACCAAAAAGACGTTAAAATATGGTAGTTGTTGGTCCCTGCCTGGCGTTCGGCATTAATGGGTACAACAAGGACTGGTCAGCTCGGAGTCAGTATAATATGTCTGAGTGGGATATTCATGCTTCACTGTGGCATGGTATCTCAGTGGGCTAGCACTATAAAACCAGCTTAAGTCTGGGCTAGTACAAGCAGCCGCACATACACATATATACACATGCACGTCGTCATATGAGCGAAATATTCTCAAGCACGACGTTAAACCTAATTTCACCTCACCTCACCTTACTATTCAGACCTAGAACCAGCTTGCAAATGGCAAATAAACTGTATCATGAGACTTACTTGCAACACTGTCACCATAGTAACCTAGGGCACTCAAACAGCCTTGAATACAGTACTGCCTCTGTGAAGTAGAAATATTGACAACATAGATATTTTACTTTGATAATTATTTTGCAAGAGTACAAAATGAAAATCATATAGTTTGTGTCTAATTGAAAATTTGATTGAATTCTGTCTCCATGTCATTAGATCTTACATCAAGAGGTCTTCTTTCTCAAAATTCATCCCCCAAACAACCCTGACAACAAAAATGTAACCAAGATTTTAAATTAGCCTATTCTTATTGCACAAGCATGTGTGAATTTATTGCATCACATGACTGGTGTTTTTCTTTATGTCATAATCATAAGCTATCAAAAACAATCAGTTGCAAGTACAAGTAACTTAAAAAGGCAATAACATATCCAAGAGTAGCATGCCGAAAAAACGACACGCCACTCCCCTCTCCCCTCCCTCCCAGTTCCTATGCTATTTTTAACCCAGTCCAGTTGGTCTACATCAATATAACTATCTTTAATTACATTATCACCATAGAAGATAAAATCAGGGACCAACAGTCTTCATCGACCATGTCCATTCATGCCCGCGACCTTTCCATTTGGACCAAACTGGAAATAATGGCTTTCCGAAACCTTCTTCAGACATCTCCATAAAGATAGCTTTTAAGCACAATTGGTTATTAGTTGTGATGAAGAAAGTATGTGAATCTGCCACAACGCCAACCCAGTCTGAATGATCTGAACAAATCAATTGGACTCTGAAAGGAGCAATTTAAGATCTAGTGAGATGAAATATCAAATCGTTATCAGGAGCAAGGTTCTTGTCACTTGTACTATTTAAATTGTCATGCTTTAGATAAAATGAGAAAAAAAGAAACATTTTTGTAACAACCCTCTGATAGCATTATGTAGGAATAGAACTTAACTTAAATGAATTACAATTAGATCTTTTTGACACTAAGACTCTTTCTGATAACTTTTTCTAAAATCTTTTCAGAGTGAGTATTTTATTAGACCAGACCAATCTAATAACAGATCACTGTCACACTTAGCCATTTCCCCCGACCCCCCAAAAGATAATCTAACAGGAAATAATTGTCTCGTAACCTTTTCTAAGACATTCCTACTTGATCCTGCAAAGACTTCACTAGAAGCCTCCAAATGATGCAGGTTTTTACTGCACAAAGAAAGCATGGCAAAACAGAAAGCAGGAATCAATTTAGTAATTGATATTTTCACTTAATACTTGTATTTCCTCCTTTTTACAGGTTTTTAGATTAAGAATACCCATAAAACATGAGGGGCGGTGGGGTAGCCTAGTGGTTTAAGCGTTGGCGAACCTGGGTTCGATTCCCCACATGAACACAATGTGTGAAGCCCGTGATACTGCTGACGTATTGCTAAAAGCGGTGTAAAACTAAACTCACCCACTCACGCTCATAAAACAAGTAATTAAACTGATCTGCTTTAACGGGGGATGCAAATGACTCCAAATATTTTGTGTACAGAACTTTACAAAGAAACTTTTATTCAATATTTAAATGCAATATCACATATATCTGCATGTCTGTATATCACATATATCTGCATGTCTGTATATCACATATATCTGCATGTCTGTATATCACATATATCTGCATGTCTGTATATCACATATATCTGCATGTCTGTATATCACATATATCTGCATGTCTGTATATAAGCATTTGATAAGTAGTCTGACACAAAAATGTATTTTGTGTTGTTTCTGCTATTGATATAGTGTGAAGCACAACCAAACATGCAATTATAGTCATAAAGCTAGGTTACTGATTGTAGACACTGAAAACTATTGTTACCTGTGTTTGTGTTTCGGCTTCATTTCCACTGGCCTGGTCCTGCAGTGATAAAAGCATGTACATGAATATCACACGCACACACACACATATGTATATAATATAATATGTATTATGGTCCATCAAACACATTGGGTGTAATGGTTTAAAAAGGGTGAAAGTTCCACCAAATTTTCATAAAATTTATACAAAGATCTACTGAATGTAGGAAGACCAAGACATGCAGGGGTAGAAATAACCAATTGCCCGACGCCCGAGTCCAGTGGTTTTTTCTGTCGGTCAAGCAAATTTGTATATCACACTGTACCGTTGTCCAGTTGACTTTCCAATATTAATTATGTTGTTTATTTAAATATCAACAAGAAAACGTCCGGTATAGTGGAAAAATTATCAGGGCAAGTGAGTTTACATGTGCCACTGTACCGGAGTACACTAGCAATTTTATAGTTATTTCCACCCCTGACATGGTCATTTATAATAACAGTGAGTTGAGTTTGCCCTGCTTTGAACAGTATTTCAGTACAATCTTGGCACATCAGCCTAACATGAGACACAGTGTCCTGTGAAAGGCCTTTTAATTGGAATTTTATGTCATCCTTAACTTTATTCATTGACAGGTTCCATCAAACAAACCCACCCTAAACCAGACAAATACTGATAAATACTTAAAACACTTGATCATAAGTGAGATTATAATGTGAATGGAAAGCTAACAGGAAACTTTGGCCTAATACTCCCCAGGAAGCTGAGAATCAAATTTGGATCTAATGGTAGCCCGTGTAAAGATGTCTTAAATACACACATCATACAAAGCAAGGAGGTCAGGCTCACTGACTTGGTTGATGCACCTCAATGTACCCTAGTAACTCATGCTCATGACGTCAATCACATGACTCTCTGTTCCAAATTTAATTATTTTCAGACAACAAATAGCAAAATAAAAACAATAATAATGCAGATCATTATGCTTTGTATGTAGCTTGTTATTTTATTCTTACTTATGATGATGCACACCAAACTGATAATATTTCCGTTTCTTTTAGACATGGTGTCAGAAATTCCACAATGGTCCAGCATAAAAGTGAACCCTCTTGTCTGTATTTACGTGACCAGCTCTGTGCAGAGCTGGCCCTGCTGTTTGTGTGACAACTCATTATATAGTAATCTACCTACTAAATCAGCCATATAATGCAGATGTGGACAAAGGCAGCTAGTAGAAATGATCACACTGCCAACCTAGAGAAGTATCCACAGAATGTGTTAGAAGTCACCACAAATCTATCACCCCAATCTATTTCAGGCTTCACCTCTACAGCCATGGGGCTCTGTAGCTCACCTTCATTACTGGAGACTATCAATATGGCATGGGATAACGCTTAAAAATTAAACATCTGACAAATGCAGCAAATTGAAACCCAATGGTCAATTACATATCATTTTATGATAACTATATACAGACAATTAAAATGATAAATGCTTGAACAATCTTTGAGAAATTGTGCCTTAAGAACGTTAACTGTAGATTTCCAGAAGCCGTCAGAACATGCAGATGCAAGTTCAGTTAATGTTAGCTAAAACTGTTCAGGTACTAATTTTCCTTCAAACTAATATCTATTTCCAATATCACTACCCTCTAATCAAAATCATAATTCATTTTCTTGCTTACTAAAGTTTTTGGGTTGAGTTGGAGAAAAGAAGCTGATGACAATAAAGAGCTTTGAGGTTAAATTGCATATATACATGTTTTATAAAGATTTGAACCTCAAAGCATCAAAGCCAGTTAGTTTAATTTAGTCTTATCCCACTCTGTAAGTATTTCAGCCATATCACATCATGTGGTCAGCTTCTTGTGGGAAGAGAACTTGGGTAACATAGGTCTTAAACGTTACCTCCTTCTTCAAACCATCAAGCATGAGTATGACATTGTCATACAGATATAATCATGGCAGCTCAATTTCCGGTCACTCTTACATAATTCTGGCATGCCAAAATAATTCAGAGTGAATTGCGCTTGCAGAGTCAACAGGAACAGATTTGCCAATGCATAGCAACCAATTGGGTAAGTCTTATTAGGAATATATAAAACATTGCACTTCCATTCTTTTTGTGCTTTTCTTCTTTTTTTTTGATAACTAGATCCCTCCAACACAAAATTCCTAGTCTATTTCAAGAGTTATACAGCCACAAATGTATTAACAATCACAGTAAAGAAAGGTGATTGAAAACAGGAACCATATTTACCAAAACTATTTATGTTGGGGAAAATATTGATAATGCTCAGTCCGGCCATAAGCATGGAGGAGAAATGATGCACACATAGCTGATGAACACTACCTCTTGACTTATGTATCACAAGCTAATGTCCAGCAACAATTGGGGATAATAATAAGGAATATGAGAGACCACATTTAACATATCCTCTCAGAGTGCTATCGATGTCAACGGTCCAGATGATATCTATTCAGACATAAAGGCTATTTCTAAACAATGCTACCTGTTAACAGACATTTAGTGTTGATCTCCATCGCTCGTGTGTGTTTGAAGTGTTAAAGACAATTATACTTTATCAGAATGATGTATGAGTTTTTGTATAAGATAAAGCAAAATGATGACGATGACTGGAGAGAAATCCAATATATTCGTGCACCTTCAAGCTAACAAGACCTCTTCACTTCTGGTTCCACAATTATTTAAAAATAGATTAATTACACAGAATGTTTAGATGTCAGACTAAGTATGTCGGAACCTTTACCTATTAGCAGAGCCAAAATATAAAGAAGAAACTTCAATTTAACTTTTGGTTACTGGCATAAATGTTGGTGTCTGCTAATATTTAATGGTTTGTGAAGGAAAAGCAAAATGTAGAAGGTATTTTATGAAGAGTTTGATACATAAATTCATGCATTGATCTGTGTACATAATCATGAGGTTAATACATATGTACATGTCTAAAACAATTCCTATAAGTTTTATATAAATCCCCCACTGTTATAGCATAAATAACAAAAGAAAATTACCTGAGGAATTTGCTTAGTGCAAGCCACCTGACAGCTTGATGATAGTGCATCTTGGTATCGGGTGCATCCATCTTGACACTGAAAACAATGAAACCACAGTTACAGTGACATTAACACTGAACAAATTCTATATATTTCATGTGACTATCACAGACGAGAGGGAGAAAGATTTCCATCCCACAAAAACAGGTGACAGAGGTAGATGGATGATATGGGGTGATATATTCACCATATCTCCCTCACAGGTAGGTATACATATATCTCCCTTGCAGATAGGTTGCTATATCTCCCTCACAGATAGAGGATATATCTCAAAGACATATAGTGGATATATTTCCTTCACAGATAGGTGGATATATTTCCCTCACAGATAGTGGATATATTTCCCTCACAGATTGTGAATATATTTCTCTTCAAGATAGTGGATACATTTCCCATCAAGATAATGGATATATTTCCCTCACAGATAGTGGATATATTTCCCTCACAGATAGTGGATATATTTCCCTTCAAGGTAGTGGGTATATTTCCCTCATATATAGGTGGCTATATGTCCCTCACTGATAGGTGGATTATATATTCCCTTAGTGATAGGTAGATATATCTCCCTCACAGATAGTGGATATATTTTCCTCGCAAATAGATGGCAATATTTCACTTATTGATAGATGGATACATTTACTCACAACCACATGGACAATATATATCTCTCACAGGCAGAGGAGTGATATTTCCTCTCCTACATGAAAGATATAATTCCTTACAAACAAACACATGTGTGATAAAATCCATCATAAGCATGGCTTCACTACTCACATATTTTCATCTTCAAGAACTTTCAAAGACAAGTTGTGCAAACACCTATTGACAAGCCTGATCTACTCATTCAGATATACAGCGTTCTAAACAACATCCCATTCCTAGGGTCACCAATGTCTGGCATAGATCATCGTCTAATTTCTCTAACTTTGAAACACGAGATGTCTCATTTCCATATGGTGATTATTTTTGTTCACAACTGTACACACTCATAGGATAGGAATGTGACACAAACCATTTAAATGCTGTACTTCTAAACATTAACTTTCTTAAAGGTCTGTTGCTGACCTACCATCTTATATTTCAGAAGACACATAAAATGATTTCCTTCGATGGAATTACCACAAACATTTCCGTAATCATTCCCCAAGAAACTAAAATACAACAGTCAAACACATACTGTTTTCAAGACAACAACTTCAGTATACATTTGAAAATTATCTCAAACACATACTGTCTTCAAGACAACAACTTCAGTATACATTTGAAAATTATCTCACAAATATTTCCTCTGCTTGTCAACAGTTTGAAGATCAAGGTAAACATGCGTTATGAAGTACACTGTTTGTGCTAATTAGAGAATAACTTATTTGAAGTGTTGAGATAGTGAGTGACAGAACAGGGGCTACAATTCAGGAACATGTCAAACACTGTCATTGGTCAGACAAGGCGGGGATGAAAGAATGGTAGTTATCATGGTACTAGAGACATTCTGTATCAAGTAAGCCCCAGCGACCCCTGTTAGGATTCCAGTGCTTGTCCCCATTACTGAGGGATTGCAACAGAGACATGCCTTACGTATGTCATGACCTGGTAACACTTGTCTTCCTTGAACATCAGAATATTCTGGTATTCTAGACTTTGTAGATAAAACCAGTGGTGATAGGGTCTTGGGTTATGGAAGTCTATCCATGATAGAATACTAAGATGTTTCATTTTTGTTGTCTTATGCTGTACACAGCAAAACCTGCTGCATATTCAGATGTAAGACATCCCTTACTTAATTCCCTTTCCTCTCAAATTAGTTACTTTCAAAGCCTTACCACCACAGAAACATTTAGCCTCATGTTTACAAATGATGAACCAGATAGAATAGAAATAATCTGCTACCATATATTTAACTTCAAACAAATCTGGGGCGATGGGGTAGCCTAGTGGTTAAAGCGTTGGCTCGTCACGCCAAAGACCCGGGTTTGAATCCCCACATGGGTACAATGTGTGAAGCCCATTTCTGGTGTCACCCGCCGTGATGTTGCTGGAATATTGCTAAAAGCGGCGTAAAACCAAACTCAGTCAGTCAGTCAGTCAAACAAATCTAGAAGATGTCTAGATTATCCTAGACCATTATACACATTTGTGTTAGTATATGTATTGTTACTCCGACGTATTATATATCTCGTTTATGAGGTTAATAGAATATTGTCACTGTTTCTACATGGAACGTTTGCAAAATAAATATCTTGCATGTTGTACCAGCAATATTTCACCTACATGACTATCTTTAAGTAATCGAGCCTGGGCCTTATTGTGGAATAAGCAATGAACCAATCACAAGCCCGACCACCTGATCAATCCTGAAGCCTTGAGACCTCTAGGGATCCCTACCCAAAAAGCATTGAGACGTTGGGCCAACGTTGGCAATGAATGCTATCTGGGTATTAGAATTGGTCTTCAGCAACCCATCCAAGAGGTGACTAATGCGATGGGGAGAGATAGTGATAAAATATTTATTGTGCAAGCAAGAAAGGAAAGGAAAGGTTCACTGACTTGGTTGATGCCATCATACCCCAACTGAGTAGATTAATGCTCATGATGTCAATCACTGGATTGTCTGGACCAGACTTGATCATTTACAGACTGCCATCATACAGTTGGAATATTGTAGAGTGCAGCATCAAACCACAAACAAACAAACAGTCACCCTGTATAACAACGGGGAGCTCTCTAGAACACAATCATTGTTGAGACAGAAAAATCTTTGAAGGAACAGTCCCAAGTCCATGACCAGTTAATTATATTGTAATGGGCACAAGGCATAACCACCAATAACTGGAAGAGGCACCAAAGTCGTGTTTAGGAGATCCTGTAAACAAAGCCATGCACCGAGACATGAATATCCCGAGACATGAATATCCCGACATTAGCACTCGGACTCCAGAAGCAGTGCAGCAGGAGTATGCGTGCATGTCTGGGTGTATGTATCTGAGGCATGCTGGGACTCCATCAGGCAACATTAACAGGGATAATAGGTTCACAGCAGGCAGCAGGGAACTTCAACAGCTACAACATTTGGTGGCCATCAAACTGACCTAAAGAACAACCTTACAAACATTTCTCAACAAATAATATTGTAACCAATGTTAGAAATTACACCAGTCCCATTTTGTTTTTGTCATAAAGCATGGCACTACATGTTATTGCTTGGGTAATCATATTTGTTCATGGGAGCTTTTACTTTTTATATTGTTTTATTTGCTTGTTTGTTGTTTAATGCTGCACCCAGCAATATTCCACCAAATATGATATTGGTCTGTAAATACATACAGGCTATGGCCAAGCCACCAAGCCTGCCCATCCAATCCACTGGATGCCTCTTATGGTCAGAGAAAGGTTCAAACCTAAAAACCTCCAAGGTGATAAGGATGTCACATTTCTTTTTATTTTGTTTTACACTTTCTGTGTTTTTCTTCCATATGGGGTAGTGGGGTAGCCTAATGGTTAGAACGTTTGCTTTTCACTGTTTTGCTTGCTACTGACATGGGTTTGATTCTCCACATGGGTACAATATGCGAAGACCATTTCTGGTGTCCCCCACTGTGATATTGCTGGAACGTTGCTAAAAGCAACGTAAAACCAAACTCACTCATGAACTTTCCGCCTTATCTATATACACAAACTAGGTACTTCATTTAACAGTAATAATCATTTCTCTAATAATCATTACATATCTAAATACTTAATATTTCAGAAACGATAGCGCAGTAAAAAGATTTCTGATTTTGTGGAATGAAAAAGGCCCACATATTTTTAAACTCCTGCAGATCTCTTCTCGCCTTAAGCCAACCTGTCTTTTCAACTTTGAAAACGTTCCTTTTAATAAAAGTATTTCACGACCCAGATCAATCATTCCTTATAGCATTTTAGGATATTTGACTTTAAAATCAATACAACCTGACCATTCTACCTCTATGATTTATTTTAATCACGGAGGACCATAACCTTTCATGTTTCAGTCATTTGGTCCCTGTCATCAGGTAGTAGTATAGGATTCCTATCAGCAAATCATATCTTTTCACCCAGTGACCCCGATGATTGCACATTCTATTTGCAGTGTCACCCCCAGCAGTCATCTGTAGTTAGTCCAAGGCTCCTTCAGACCAGCCTGAAAACTGTGTGCTAGACTAACGCTTAGTCTCTCAACATATATAACTTTGATTGTTACAAATAAACCCATTTAAATTGAGAAGGAGCCCCAGGTAGACATGACATTCAGAACCTGAGGAAATCTAGACTTGCTTCATGCAGGGAATTAGCATTCAGGCCTACCATACAAACGGCGAACAAATCATCAAAACTGAACTCATATACACCAAAACAGAACAAAAATCACCAAAATTTCCTATTTTGGTGATTTTTGTTCTGTTTTGGTGTATATGAGTTCAGTTTTGCCTATTTTGGTGATTTTTGTTCTGTTTTGGTGTATATGAGTTCAGTTTTGATGATTTGTTCGCCGTTTGTATGATAGGCCTGGCATTGCAGGGAGGGCTTGGCTGTAGGGAAAATAATGCGGTTCAGGGACTGTGAAACAGACTAGCATTGTGGATGATATTTCAGTTATGATTTAGTCACTTCAGCCTATTCTATGTTAACCTCAGGGTAGATGATTTTTCATTTCATGTGTCAGGGAAACTTTTCATCATAAAGAGATGAAGAATGCAAAGAGACAAACTTTGGGACTGTTATGGGAATTTTGTATTCAGATGTCAGTTCCATATATGCTGTGCACAAACAAGGCATCCATAATTGCCTGTCCACATGCAATACTATATTATAGATCTTTGTGCCCACACAACTTTTCATTGACAGCAGGAAATGGAAGAAAATAAGTTCTGTTTGTCACCAGAACAGTAATCATTATCAGTTCTTGATTATAAAAATCTAAATAAACAGTTGACATCTTATAACAACACATAAAAGTTGACTGTCTGGCCTGTCATCATACCATGTCTAAACTTCTTGCATGTTTGAGGGTCCACTAG